AAAGGGAAATGTTAGAGGGTTTGATGGAAATAGAAACAGTTGGTTTATGGGAGGTAGTTTAATTGCAACAATTGAGAACATACCACGTTTTGATAGTTACGGTTGATGATTCATGCAAAATTGTAAGCGTGACAAAAGGTTGACAAAAAAAGTAGAAAATTTGAAAAGATGAATTATGTCATTTGCACCAAACTGCTAAAGAAAGGGCATAGAGGAAGAGTAATGCAAGAAAAGGGTAAAATGGAACTGAAATCTTTTCCAAAATGCCAATCGGTTCCAGCAACTTATAAGCAAAATATTAAATTAAGACCAAAAAAAAAAAAAATAAAATAAAACATACTTGCTAGTAGCGAGTGAATTACCAGCATGTCGCCTTAAGAAAAATGGTACTGAGACATACCAATAGATCATACCACCTAATGGTATAGCATAACTTGCAATACATGATACAATACCAAAACCAAGTTCGATCTCTACATTTATTATAATATCAAATTTTATAAGTTTACTATGTCTGTTGTCAACATTATGACATTATCGAAATTTAAAAAAAAAAATTTCTTACCAGACGGTGGCATAAAGGTACATTTTCTTAGTACATTAACAGTTTTTATGGTGATATTAGCATTGAAATAAAGCGTTGATACTTGGCTATATGCAAAAACAGGCCATAACATTATCATTACAAGCGCCATTGATGCAATTACTTGTGCTATTGCATACTGTAAATACAATTCATTTATTTAGTTATTAATTTTGCTTGTAAATTATACATTTCTTTTGTTTTAACTTTTCATTTTAATTTCCAACAAATATTCAATGTATTTTTCATCATCCATTTATTTTTGTTCCACTTTTACTATGATTAATTACTATCAGTGTATCTCATCTCACTGATTTATAATTAATTGGCATTTTCTTTAGATTATTACAAATATTCATTTGATTTATTTATCAATTAACATATCCGTTTTTATTAAAACCACAAAAACATGCTAATAATCAAGCTAATTTAAATGAAGCTAGTAAAGAAAGGCGGAAGAAGGATAAGGAAAAGCTAGCAAAAATAATGAAGAAATTTTTTTTTTTTTTCAGGCCTCAGAAAATTGCAAATTATTCCTGGCTTCGAATCATCCCTAGGCATTTATTATATCAACAACGAAGTGAGAAAGCTAATATAATATACGATGCATATTAAATAAAAAATTTACATGAAAGGGAAATTTTTGAAAAAGTTAGTTAAAGGGAAATAGTTTAGTGTGTATGTCTGTGTGTGTGTGTGTGTGTGTATGTGTGTGCATGTGTGTGTGTGTATGCATGTGCGTGTGTGTGTATGTGTGTGTAGAGTATTATCAAAAACTTCTTACGAAATTTTTATAAATTTGAAAATAGTATAATGAAGACAGACATTCGGTTACCCTTACTTTTACACTAAGTGTATTGCATTAAAAGGATTTTAGTAAATATGATAGCATAGTTGAATGAATATCACATATAGTTGATGTGATAAAAGAATAATGAAGTAGATAATTTACTTTTAAACTAGCAGCTATTCGTCGACTTTTTGGATCGAGACATACCGTAACATAGCATGTCCGACTGATTAGTACCACAATTACAGGTGCAACAAATTTATTCATTGCTTCGAAGACAAGATATACCACGCATGAGAATGTGCTAAATTTCCATGTACCAACAACTATATCGATTATTAGAAAAAGCATTCCTGGAAATTTTCTATTTCTTTACTATCATAATATGTCGTACTTGAGGTATCATCGGATACTGTTGATAGAAAAATGAGATACCAGCGGATACTGTTGATGGAAAAATGAGATACCATCGGATACTGTTGGTAGAAAAATGAGATACCAGCGGATACTGTTGGTAGAAAAATTATTTGATATAAATAAAAACTGATATTTTCATTAATTCCAATGATGCAACACATCCATTTAATGCATAATGAACTTCTGTTATCAGTGTATGATATCAACCGAAACTTACCAATCATTATCATTAGGTCAGAAATGCATAATGTTATGATATAAAATAGAATACTCTTTGGTACTTTAACAGTGGCGGAAAAAAGCAATGGTGCAACAGTGTATAATACCCAGAAATTAGCAGCGAATCCAATAGCATTAACACCCATATAAGCAAATGCTACCCATCGTCGATAACCCTGTAAAGTTCAAAGTTCACTTTAAATTCTCTGAATTATTTTTATTTGTGAGAAGAAATGAATTTGATGGATTATATAAGTAAGTCTCTGGCTTGTTAGCTGTATAGCACATATTTTCTATGTTGTTTGCAATCAGTGAACATTAAGATATCACCATTGTTATCGCTTAATTAGCATTTGACAATATGACAAGACAAATTGTAGGTCGTTAATTTAAGTAGATAAATTTTAATTTCATATGAGTAACGTTTCATATCTGATTTGAATTGTTCCAAAAGTAACAGTTTAAATTTAAGCAAATAAGCGCACAAATGGTTTGAATTATATCGTCAGCCTATGGAATGTGTAAAAATTAGTAAAATGAATTCAAATAACCTGAAATGGTATTGAATATTCCAACTGCTTATAACTGGCAAATTCATTGTCGCCCTGAATTATGATTGTCATAGCTTTCTCTCACATCATTTTAAAATAAAAAGCCATTATGAAGTACTGAAAATTATGAAAGTGTTGGAAGTACAAAAATTTAAATTTGATTGAAAGTACAAAAATTTAAATTTGATTGAAACAAATCAATTGAAAGTTAGCAAGAATAAAAAAAAAATGAAATGAAGAGATTTGAAGTGGAAAATGCAATGCTATCTTGACAAGGTACTTGAAAATGGACAATTTAATAAGCAAATAATGGAACTGTTCATGCAATACAGATTTTAAATGCAATAAAGAATTTCATTTCTTAAAAGTTTTTTTTGAAAGGAGGAAAATAAATATGGAAAGGATTGCTTGATGACATTAAGCTAATTCAATTTTTTTTTCGTCCTTGTCAATTTTCATTTCAGTGGTGACACTTTTGCTTATTGAAAAAGTTATTAAGCTTTTCAAAATGCGAAAGGATGAAACTTTTATCGTTGCATTTTCGATTAGGCATGAAAATTGCAAAACAATAAAAAGTTTTTTTCTTTGTTGAACCGAAAAAAAAACATTTATATGAGCAATAAAAAATATTTCATTCTTTAAAATTTAAGCAAAAATTATGTAAGAAAGTAAGTCATATGCAAATATGCAAAACTCTTTCTTTAAAAAAAAAAAAATTACACAAATATTTGGCCACACATATCTTGTTCAAAGTAAATGTGAAATGTTTATTATTTTCAATCAATTTTGTCTTTGAAATATGCAAAAATTAATATACTCATATGATCACTCTCATTTTTCAAAGAATGACATTATTCTTGCGATTTTCTTTTTTTTCATTTTTGAAATTTCTTGGCCGTATTGGCATGTACACTTACAAGGTTTCACAGCTTAGCTTAACATTTAGTATTCAATCAGGCTAAATTTAAAAGTCATCAAGAAAATGTTTGGAATTTTCTAGGCAAAGTACATAACAGAATAATATAAGAAATTGAGGACAGCGTTTGATACATTTCACATGAATTGTTGAGTAGTGAAAAGACAGTAAAAGAAGGTGTTCAATTTGTAGAGGACAGTAAAAGAAGGGATTCAATTTGTAGAGGACAGTAAAAGAAGGGATTCAATTTGTAGAGGACAGTAAAAGAAGGGATTCAATTTGTAAAAGATGGTAAAAGAAGGGATTCAATTTGTAGAAGATGGTAAAAGAAGGGATTCAATTTGTAGAAGATGGTAAAAGAAGGGATTCAATTTGTAGAAGACAATAAAAGAAGGGATTCAATTTGTAGAAGATGGTAAAAGAAGGGATTCAATTTGTAGAAGATGGTAAAAGAAGGGATTCAATTTGTTTATGATATATATATATATATATATATGTAAATATATAAAGTGATGGAAAACACAGATTGTGATAGATTTTATATTCCTCCTTTCTCATTCTGATTTCCTGAAGATACGGGGGAGGATGAAATTGAAAGATGGCTTCAGAAGTTAAGCACTTTAAAAATGTTGAATGGAATTGAAATCATTTACAATGCCATTAAACAATTGCTACGAGTGACACTGTTAGTGTACTTACAGATTAATTGGTGTTTGCTATGATAAACATATATTAGCCTTAGATAGAGAGAAGAAAAAAAAGAAGAGAGAGAGAGAGAGAGGAGGGGGAGAGGGGAAGTTAGTTATGGCTCTAATTTTGAAATGTCATGATGTATTTAATTTATTATTCCTAGCTAAATAAGGCTAGCTTTAGTTTTGCCTTCTTGACTTGCTTGCTTAAAGTTTTTCAGAATATTTCTCACTTACTTCGATATTACCCAATTTATTATGGCTTAAAATTTTTCTAAAAAATCAATCATTTCCATAGTATATGTATTAGTGAATGAAATTTTTTGTTTTTTTTTTTTTTGAACACAAAAAACTTTCTATGAAATATTTCAGCGTTAATCTGATTGGAATAAACTAAGGATTGATCATTGGTTTAAGGAAAAGAAGAAAAAAAAAGAAAGATATTTTTCATTAATTTATCACCAATAGAAATTCTAGCATCAATTTATTGCCATTTAAAATACAGTATGATAAATTATTTGGCAAAAAAAAAAAAAATGTCCCTCATCGTGTACTTCAATAGTGACACTTTGAAAAAAAAATGATCGATATGAGCTTTCACCTTCTTTTTTTTTTTGAAAAAGTTATTTCAAAAACAATAATACTAATAATTTGAGTACGGTAACTGTAAAAGAGCATCGCAGTGCTAATTGCGATTGCATTAGCTATTAAATTTTTATTATCAGAATTACATCAATAAAGGATGATTGCGTTCGTCGGCATTTCATTTATCATAATCAATTTTCAATTTGTCACAGAAAGGAGCAAAATGTAAACGATCCAAAAGATTCATTCCGGAAAAAATCAATCATTTAAGCCTTAATCGTTTATAAAAATTGCAAAAAACTTTTGACAAGGATAATGATCACAAGCAATTTATAAATGACACATATGTTCTCCTAAAAAAATACCACTTTACTTGTCATTAAAATTTATTTGTTAGCCTCGGAAAAATGCTGAAAAAAATTGTGATATGTTAGAATTCCATATATATATATATATAAATTGCTCGTATTAAAAAAAAGAGGTGTCATTGAGGTATCACTGCGATGTCGAGAATCACAGGAATTCTCAAATTAGAACCAATATCACCTAAAAGTTATTCGGTATTTTCAATGCAATTCATTTCAGGTAAGATACTGGTAAAGTTATAAACCAGTTGATAATGAAGGTGGTAATCAATTGAATGTGATAGGATATTTAATGGGCCTGAATAAACAAAATGATAAATTATTCTTTTTCCCAAAAAAAGGAGTACTTTAAAATTAAATTTGAATAATAGGTGTCGGGCATATTAATAAATAGAATTTATTAATCAATAATTCTTGATGAATTTTGTTTCGAGAAGTATGCACACCAAAGCATATTTAGTAAATTAGCTTCATAAATTGATGTCAAGCCTGAGCACTTTTTTTTTTTATATTCCAGCAGAAATCCGGTTAGCAGATGAAAATCCGGTTCAAAAGAAAAATACATTATAAGATTGTATGGAAAATAAACTGGACATTCTAATGATCGTCTTATAAGGTCACTTATAAGATTAACTTTTCAAAAATGGATTGAAATGAGAGTTGTGTTATATTTGAAACTCATTACAAATGAACATGTCGTTTCCTATGAGAAATGTCTATTGATTTGTTTTTTTTTTTTTTCCGATAATGATTTTCAATGTTTCTGTTCACCTTAATAACTTTCAGTTAATAGTGAAATTAATTTTAGTTGCACGATGAACGGTCATTGGTCATTGATCAATTATTATTTGATGTCATCATTATTTCAGATTATGGTTTAATTTCTTTTTCTTTTTTTTAATTCTGATACCGAAATCAAATAAATATTATAAGAAAGTATAAAATAAAATTCATTAGATTAAAATAGAAAAGAAAAACAGTTTTAGAAGTTAATGAAATAATCAACCAACATCATTTCATCATTCTTCAACTTTTTAAGCGAACTTTTAATTTTGACTTTTAATTTCATTTCTCTTGACAATCTTTTTGCTAAGTAAATTAGTCCAGTAATAATAGATTTTCTTTTTTTTTTTTCAAAGAAAGGAAATGAACGGTAGCAATAGAAAAGCTATGAAAAATAAAAAAAAAAAAAACAAATGAACTGATGAATTGCTCAAAATTATGGAGACTAAGAAAAGAAAAAAAACTTGAAATTTTTATTTAATTTTTATTTGCAACAGTTTTCCTCCTTTAAAATACTTTTTTTATTTTTAATACAAAAAAAAAGATTTAAAATTGTCGCAGATATTTTGAGATTAGCATTATCACTTGCATTAATTAATTCAACTGATAGTTTTCTCAAATTGTTTGCTAAAGCCTTTAATCGTTATGAATTAAAATGAAGCCTGAAAAATTGATAGAATTTTATCACAATTAACTATTTCCAACTATTATACCATTTAATTTGTACCGAAGTATTGAATTACTGGAAAAAATATGACATTACTATTACTTTGATAATTGCAAAAAAAAAGCATCTTTTTTTTCGTATTTTCTTTAACAAACAAAAAATTCCAAACATTTTTAATCCAAAATGAAAGATAAGAAAAAAAAAAATTCCATTATGAAATAAAATGACAGTCCTTATGCTTTTCATATATCCCGGCTAAATGTTTAATCTTATTGCTTACTTCTATAAAAATTGCTATCAGTAATATTAATTAAACTGTTTCATCTGTCTCGCTTTTAGTTTTCTTCTTTTTTTTCCTTTAATTTTTATCTTCAATTGTGTAAAAAAGCTAAAATTTATCACGTAAAATATGGATCATTTAGATAGATTAAAAGTATCAGTCATATAAATAATCAGGATACGAATATAATTTATATATTCACTCTGCATTACAAACATAAAGTTTATATTATGTCAACGATTATTATTTAATCAACAATTTTTATTATGACAGTATTATTTTGAAGTTTTTTTTTTCTTCATTGAAATTCAAAAAAAAAAAAAAAACAAAAATAAAAAACAATTTGCAATCATTGCATATAAATGAAAC